CAGAGTAGATGTATAATTCGCACTTCCACAGGCAATGGAAAAGTGTTTCCCTTGTTTCACATTCCTGACTACATGAATTGTCACTTGTGTCTTTGATCTTGGCCATTCTGACAGGCGTGAGATGGAATCTCAAAGCCGTTTTGATTTCCCTGATGGTTAAGAATGTTGAACATTTGTAAGTGTTTCTTAGCCATTTGAGATTCTTCTGTTGAGAATTCTGTTTAGATCTATACTCTATTTTTAATTGGACTGTTTGGTTTGTTGATATCTAGTTTCTCCAGTTCTTTATTTATTTTGAATATTATCCCTCTGTCACATTTGGAGTTGGTGAAAGTCTTTTCCCATTCTGCAGGTTGCCATTTTGTCCTATTATTGATGGTGTCCTTTGCCTTACAGAAACTTTTCAGGTTCATAAAGTCCTATTTATTGTCAATCTTAGTGTCTGCACTATTGATATTCTGTTCAGGAAGTTGTGTCCTGTGCCATGTGTTCAAGGCTATTCCCCACTTCCTCTTCTGTCAAGTTTAGTGTTGATGTCTTTGATCAAGTTGAACTTGAGTTTTGTTCTGGGTGATAGATGTGGATTGATTTGCATTTTTGTACATGACAACCTCCAGTTAGACTAGCACTATTTTTTGCTTTCTTTTTTCCATTGCATAATCTTGGCTTTTTTGGTGAAATCAGGTGTCCATAGGCATATAGATTTACATCTGGGTCCTCAATTTCATTTCACTAGTCAACTTGTCTGTTACGTAGTTTTTTTTGTTTGTTTGTTTTTTTCCGAGACAGGGTTTCTCTGTATTGTTTTGGAGGCTGTCCTGGAACTCACTCTGTAGACCAGGCTGACCTCAAACTCTAATCTGCCTGTCTCTGTGTCCCGTGTCCCCCTTCCCCCTCCAGTGCTGGGATTAAAGGTGTGCACCACCAATGCCCAGGAAGTTTTTTTTTTATTACTATTGCTCTGTAGTACAGCTTAAAATCAGGGATGATGATAGCTCTAGAGGTTTTTTTTAAAATTGTGGGATTATTTTCAGTTTCTCTCCATTTAATGTCCTTTGTATCCCTGATCTCTCTAAGACTTTTATCATGAAGGGGTGCTGGATTTTTTTAAAGGCGTTTTCAGCATCTAACAAAATGATCATGAGTTTTTTTCTTTCACTTTGTTTATATGGTCCATTTTGTTGACAGATTTTCATATGATGCGTCTTTGGGATGAAGCCTACTTGATCGTGGTAGATGATCTTTTTGATGTGTTCTTGGATTTGGTTTGAAAGTATTGAGTATTTTTGCATCAATGTTCAGGAGGGAAATTGGTCTGTAGTTCTCTTTCTTTGTTGAATCTTTTTGTGGTTTTGATATCAGGGTGGCTGTGGCCTCATAAAATGAATTTGGCAACGTTCCTTCTATTTCTATTTTGTGGAATGAGTTGAGGAGTATTGGCATTAGCTCTTCTTTGAAAGTCTGATAGAATTCTGTGCTTAAAAACATCTGGCCTTGGGGTTTTTTTTTCCTTTTTTTTTTTTTTTTTTGGTTGGGAGACTTTTTAATGATGGCATCTATTTCCTTAGGGGTTATAGGTCTGTTTAAATCATTTATTTGGTCTTGATTTAACTTTGGTAAGAGGTATCTATCAAGAAAATTGTCCAGTTTCTTTATGAAGGCACTTACTGCTTTGGACTTTCCTCTTAGCACAGATTTCATTGTGTTTCATAAGTTTGGGTTTGTTCTGCCTGCCTGCCTGCCAATCTCTCTCTCTCTCTCTCTCTCTCTCTCTCTCTCTCTCTCTCTCTCTCTCTCTCTCTCTCTCTCTCTCTCTCTCTCTCTCTCTTTCTGCCCTGACCCAGTAGTCATTCAATAGAGAAATGTTCAATTTCCATGAGTTTGTAGGCTTTCTGCTGTTTCTGTTGTTGCTGCAATACAGTTTTAATGGGTGGTCTGATAGGATACAGGGAGTTATTTCAGTTTTCTTGTATCTGTTGAGACTTGCTTTGTGTCTTAGTCGGTGGTCAATTTTGGAGAAAGTTTCATGAGGTGCTGAGAAGAAAGTATATTCTTTTGTGTTTGGGTGAAATGTTCTGTAGATATCTGTTAGGTCCATTTGGTTTATACTATCTGTTAGCTCTATTATTTCTCTGTTTAGTTTTTGTCTGGATAACCTGTCCATTAGTGAGAGTTGGGTGTTGAAGTCTCCTACTATTAATGTATGAAGTTCAATGGATGATTTAATCTTTAATAATTTTTTTATAAATGTGGGTGCCCCTGCATTTGGGGCATAGATATTAAGAATTGAAATGTTATCTTGGTGAATACTTGACGAGTATGAAGTATCCTATCATTTTTGATTGATTTTTGGTTTGATGTCTATTTTGTTAGGTATTAAAATAGATACACCAGCTTGCTTCTTGGGTTCATTTGCTTGGACAGTCTTTTTCCAACACTTTAACCTGAGGTAATGTCTGTTTTTGAGGTTGAAGTGTGTTTCTTGTATGCATCAGAGGAATGGGTTCTGTTTTTACATCCATTCTATTAGGCTATATCTTTTTATGTAGGAATTGAGTTCAGTGTTATTGAGACGTGTTAATGACCAATGATTGTTGATTCCTGTTATTTTGTTGCTTTTGATGATAATGGTGTGTGTTTGTGTTGTGGTTCCCTTCTTTTGGTTTTGCTAATGTGAGATTATTTCCTGTTTTTTCAAGGGTATAATTACCTTTCTTGGGTTGGGATTTTCCTTCTAGTACCTTCTGTAGGGCTAGATTTGTGGATAGATAGTGTTTAAATTTGACTTTGCCGTAGGATATCTTGTTTCTCTGTGATAATTGAAAATTTTGCTTGCTATAGTAGTCTGGCTGTCATTTTGTGTTTTTTTTAGAGTCTGCAAGACATCTGTCCAGGGCCTTCTGGATTTTTGAGTCTTCATTAAGAAGTCGGGTGTAATTTTGATAGGTCTGCCTTTATATGTTACTTGGCATTTTCCCTTTGCAGCTTTTTAATATTTTTTCTTGGTTCTGTATGTTTAGACTTTTGATTATTATGTTGTGTGGGACTTTCTTTTCTGTTCCAATCTATTAGGTGTTCTGTAAGCTTCTTGTACCTTTATAGGCATGTCAATTTATAGGTTAGGAAAATTTTCTTCTATGATTTTTGTTAAAAATATATTCCGGCTTTTGAACTGGGATTCTTCTTTTGTTCCTATTATTCTTAGGTTTGGTCTTTTCACACTGTCCCAGATTTCCTGGATGTTTTGTGTCAGGAATTTTTTTAGATGTAACATGTTCTTTTACTGTTGTATCTATTTATTCTATCATATCTTCAATGTTAGTGAGACTTAATGGTGTAGGTTCTCTGACGTTTCCAGGAGACACAGAGAGTAACTTTTAAAAAATCTGCCCTGAAGTTTAAACCACAAACACTCTACCATTGAGCAGCACCTACATTCAGATGTTTAAGTCTCAGTGTTCTGAGAGTTTCAGACTAGTGCCTAAGTATAGCATAGCTATATTAACATTAATTGTCAAAATGCTCACCATAGACCTTAGAGGAAACTGAAGAAATTATTCACATACTGATCAGTACAGAAGTTATGAAACATGATGTCCCTAGATATATTTGATTTTCTCTGATAATGAAGTCTGAAGACTCTTCTCCCACTAGGTATGACTCTCATATGAACATTAAAAATAGCTGTCATTTGGATGACAATGCATTCTACTTAATAGCCGCCTATAGATTTATTTTTTGTTGAAACAATAAATCTCTTAAAAACTCATCTGTTGAATTGGGATCTATGATCCTTTTAATAGGATTTTTGAAAGAGAGTGCAGGATTTATAGCTCCATATAAATTGCTTTACGTGGAAGTTAAGGTCAGTAGAGCTTTGTTCAGTCTGTCAGAGTTGAACCCGGAGGAAAAAGACTTGTTTCTTTCTCATCCTGTAGTGCTAGGTGCCAAAGGCTCCCATCTTTGGAATAGTGTTGTCTTAATTTAGGATGATGGAGCAGAGTTCTAATACTCAGGAAAGTATTTCATTAAGTACAAGAATGATTTGAGATGTGGGACTGGCCATAATCTGACCTCATTCAGGATTCCTCATCTCAAGGAAAGACAGTGCATTTGTGCAAGTCAGAATCTTGGAGTCGCCTTAGATACCTGTTTTCCCTAATCTGTAGTGGGTGAATGCAGTCACTCTGTCAAGCCTTCTTAAAGGTCTCCTGGTCACACACCCACTCTCCTCATGGCCACCGCTCCAGTCTGTACCATCACCCTTTGTCTGAAGTAGCCACCTCACCCACAACAGACTGACCTTTAAAACACACACCTATGAGACTATCAGTGGTTTCACACTGTTCTCAGGATAACAGGGAATGGCTGTCCTGCGGATGATAGGTCTCTCTCCAGCTTCTTCCTGTCCTTGAGAAACCAGCCCCAACACCACAGTTGCCAGTGACTTCCCTGATGCCCTGATGGGAGAGGTTTCCTGTGCTCTGTGCTACTCTAGACCCACACCCCTTTACTCATGGTGTTTGCATATATCTAGAATTAGACATTCAAGCCAGGCCTGGTGGCTCATGTCTGACATACTGCCATAGGGAAGGCTGAGCAGGAGGATCATTGCAAGTTTGCGGTTACCCTGTATCGCAAACGCAAGTTGGATACTTGGTATTGTGTTTGGTGTGTGTGTGAGCATACATGCCAGAGGTTAACTCTGAGTGACAATCCACTGTGATGCAATTACACACCTTGCTGTTGATGTGAGTGTTAGGAGTTGAGTTCAAGTCCTCAGGGTTGCATGGCAAGCAGTTTCCTGACAGCTGTCTCCCCAGCCTCGGGTGATGCGGCGTTCTGAATTGTATGTGCCTCTCCTGCAGAAAAGAAGCTCCCCAAGCTACATTCATGCCCATAGTCTCATCACCAAATCCCAACACTTGGCTCAGCGTTTGAAAAAAGTAGTTGATCAATGTATTTGTTGAATGAATAAATGACTGTTTTTAATTGTTCAGGTGGAGGAAGAGGAACCCACTGGATACATTAGATATGAAAAATTTCTTCCAGTGATGACCAAAGCACTTCTGGAAAGAAAGTAAGGAAGTAAACCCAATTTTAAGGCAAGATAACTAGAATGGCATTAATTTCAAAACATTTGGCTGGCCAGGTGTGATGCTTTATGCTTGTTATTCCAGCATTGAGGGGCTGAGGCAGGAGGATTTCCACAAACTTGAGGCTAGCCTTAGTTATGTAGTTTCAGGCTATCCTGAGCTACAGTTTTGCCTCAAAACCAAACCAAACCACTTGACCTTTTATATTTTATTTACCCAGTCTGTATCTTAGGGTAGTTTCCTCTAGCCTTTCAGTATATTTCAGACTGGTTTAAGCAAGAAATAATGAAAAGGCAAAGGAACTACAAAAAGAACAACATTGTAGTTATATTTAACTGTGAATTACCATTTTTAAATAAAAATTAGCATTAGTTACTTTTCTAGCAGAAGACAGCATTAGCATATGACAGTTGATTGATTGTAGATGTTTTAGTCCTAGATAAATTTATTTTTATATCAATGAGAAATGCTAATAGGTAATACCAAACATTTCTGTGAGATAGGTACTGCTGACTTTCATATCCAGAAATCCAAAGAAATTTCATCAAGGGAAATGCCATTAGCATAGTATATTAGTGGCTTTTATTTTGCTTAATGCAGTCATTTATCATGTAGAGACTGAGATAAATATGCTGGTATTAACTCACTTTGTTGTAAAATTACAGATACAGACCAATTGCTGAAGATGTCCTTCTCAGAGCTTTTGAGGTGGGTGAACTCCAGATTATTCATGTATATGTGAAAAATTAATTCATCATGTAGAATTTATTCAACAAAGAAAATATATCTGCTTTCCCCAGGTTTTGGATCCAGCTAAACGAGGGATTCTGACCAAGGAAGAGCTGGTTAAATACATGACTGAGGAAGGTCAGAGGCTTTGCTTCTGATGAGAGCAAGTTATGCAGAGATGGATAGGCTTACAGATGTTTATTTTTTAATTGTGTGTGTGTGTGTGTGTGTGCATGTGAGTGCAGTACCCACAGAGACCAGAAGCATCATGTCCCCCTGTAGCTAGAGTTACAGATGGTTGCCAACCACCTGATATGGATACTGGGAACTGAACTCAGGTTCTTGGCAGAACAGTGCTTGGTTTTAACTGTTGAGCCATCTCTCCAGCCCAATTAGTAAGTTCTAAACAATTATGCAATAGTTAAAGGAGGTGATATTTTAAAAGCAATTGTTTGGTTAAATATTTATTTATTATTCCTATTATTTTGGTATTTGATTTTGTGTAATGGAAGTGTAATGATTACTTGTATAAATTGTGCTTACTTTAGTCACTTAAATATTTTCTGAATAAAAGACATGCCACTTAGAGAACATGAGCTGTCAATCATAAAGCAATGCCTTTTTAGACAGAAGATTTGAGTTATAGTATATAAAAATTTCTTTTAAAAGATCTTCTTAGGTGGTAAAGTTGCAAACAATATAGCCTAAATTGAATGTGAATTCACACAAAATTATATTTTCTTATGATAATGGGACCTTCTCTGACAAATACCTGTATATTTCCTTCAAATGTTCTCTTTTTATGTGAGTCTATACATGTATTTCCCTAACTGTAAGCATCTTGATGGACAGTCATTAGTGCTGTTCACACACACACAACCTGTGCTAAGGGAGGTGTTCTGCTTCCTTTACACACACACACACACACACACACACACACACACATTCTGTACTAAGGGAGAAGTTCTGTTTCCTACACACACACACAGACACACACACTCCCTGTACTAAGGAGGAGTTCTGCTTCCTTTACACACACACACACACACACACACACACACACACACACACACACACACTATAGTAAGGGAGAAGTTCTGTTTCCTACATACACACACACACACACATACACACACACTCCCTGTACTAAGGAGGAGTTCTGCTTCCTTTAGACACACACACACACACACACACACACACACACACACACACACACTGTACTAAGGGAGGAGTTCTGTTTCCTCTACACACACTGTTCTAAGGGAGGAGTTCTGCTTCCTCTCTCCAGCTCCCAGATGCATGGGCCAAGTCCTGAGTGATGCAGCAGTCATGCATCAGTTGAGCATGGACATGGGTATCATTTTGAGCAAGGAGACCAGTGTCAGAAGTGCTATGCTCATCTGGTTTGGGCATTTTAACTCAGTTCCCCATCAGGAAACAGGAATTGAGTGAAGAAATAACATGAAATTCATAGCTGCCACCCAGGATCACCTACTGTGTTAACATCATGTGAGCAGTTAACTTTACTAATTAACCGAGGATGAAAGGAAGTAAACCCTAAAGTAAATTGGGCCACATGAAATTAATAAAAACAGCCAAAGTGATTGAGTCACTCCTACTGTGTGCCTATTGTATATTTATTGGTAAAGTACAGTGGATGGTAATGACACTGGAATCTGATCCCTTTCTTGAGCATATTATAGTCTTACTGGGGAAGCAAAGCTAACTTGTGAAATAGATCAATATAAGACATTAGAAAAATAGCTATCAGAAGATCAATGCAAGCTGAAACTAGCCTGGAAATGTTGGCCTGGGAAGGCTGACAGAGAAAATAGCTTCCTTGAGAAGGTAGATTTATTCGTTTGCTTTTGTTTTGTGTCAGGGTTGCATTCTATAACCCAGGTGAATCTGGTGTTTACTATGTATCGCAGGCTGGCATTAAACTCAAGACAATTATCCTGTTTTAGCCTCCCACATGGGATTACAGATGGGAGCCTATTCTTTGCTTCAGTAGATAGGGTGGTGAGCTATCGGGGCAGGCATAAGATCTTATATGTTATAGTACCCTCGCATGTCATAGTGTCAACATATGATCAGCTGTGAGTGAACAAATGAGCGGTTGAATGAAGACAGTTGAAGTTGGCTGATGGGAAATGGATAAATGGAACAGACTCTGGAAGGAAGGCAGCCAGGCACATGGAAGAAGGTGAGCTCAGCCAGCCTACGAATCTTGTTGGCCAACAGTAGGAAAGGGATGGAGGTGGTTCGGGGCTGATTGTAGAAGCCTGTTCTCGAGCTCGGGTCATCCCCTGGGCGGTGGAGAGTTGGACTGAGTCACCCAGCGTAGCAGGGCTGTGGGAAAGTGCTGGTTTGTCTGTAGGTGAGTAAGAAAGGTTCAGCCAGCCAGATGAGCAGGACGGCTCCTTCAGCATTCCCAGGGTTCCCTAATGCGGGCCTGGCCTGGCACAGGGGCTAGAAAAAGGGAATTGATTCAGTATGGCTCTGCCACAGGCCCCTGGGCCATGGTGACTAACGAAGGGCAGGGGATGAAAATGGGCGATGAGTATAAAGGAACCCCAAGATTGTGCCCTGGCCCCTGGATGTCAAAGGTAGTAATGCTAACCACTGAAACAGCGAAGTCAGGCACTGCTGCACTGTGTGTAGGGCAACACGGCCATGTGGGCCCCAGGAAGGTGCTTCATGAGCATTTCCAGGGAGGCATACTTACAGAGTTCTTATACTCCAGGGCAGCTGTTGGCTATCCTAATAGACAGAGCCTGCATCAGTTCTTTTCAGAGAAGTATATAAATGGTTTCAGTTATTTATTCAACATTATTCAATTTCTTCCATGTTATATGAGTCAGTATATTTGTTAGGTATATATAAGGTGCACCATGTTATCTTAGTGTATCATTATTTTTTCTTTTAATTTTAAATAGCTTGTTTTACATGTCAATCCCAGTTCCCTCTCCCTCCCCTCCTCCCGCACCCCCCCTTAGTGTATCATTATTATTGGATGTAATATGCTCTTCCTCTAAGTACACAGCTGCGTACTTCAGTAAAATGGTTGCTTAAAAGATGATTTTTTTTAAAGAGAGAGGCTTTTTCTGTGTATCGCTGATTGTCCTGGAACTCACTCTGTAGACCAGGCTGGCCTTGAACTCAGAGATCCACCTGCCTCTGTCTTCTCAGTGCTGGGATTAAAGGTGTGTGCCAACAGGCCTGGCTAAGAAGTGATATTTTGGTTCTGAAAATTCCAGATTTAAGTATACCTGAGCTTTTGGACTCTAAAGTTACTTCCACATCCTTCCATAGTGTCCACAGAACAGCCAGCGCATCTTTAAGTTTAAGAATGTGATTCTAAATGCCCAGGAGATTGCAAGATAAACACCATAAACCATAGTGAATCAAGTACCCACAAGACAGAGTTCATGTGTGTCCAGGATGTTTATTGCATCAGATGGTATTTAGCGTCAGGAAAGATCTTTTTTATCTTTTTTTTTTTTTTTTTTTTTTTTGGTTTTTTCGAGACAGGGTTTCTCTGTGGCTTTGGAGGCTGTCCTGGAGCTCACTTGGTAGTCCAGGCTGGTCTTGAACTCACAGAGATCCGCCTGCCTCTGCCTCCCGAGTGCTGGGATTAAAGGCGTGTGCCATCACTGCCTGGCTTTGTTCTTTTAAGACAAATCTTTGTTTAGCCTCAAGCTCACTTCAGCCTGAGCGCTGGAACTGCAGATGTGCGCCACTACACCTGCCACCCATTATTAGTGTCCTTTTGAGACTTACATCCAAGTTTACTTGGCAGTGGACTGAGTGTCTAATAGTCAGGTAACAAAAATCCAGAATTTGTCACTTCAGCATTTCAGGAATTCTTTCTTAGAAAGTTTATACATATGAACCTAGCACTCAGAAGGCCAAGGTAAGAAAAAACAAAACAAAACAAAAACAAAAATGTGAGTTTGAAGTCAGATTCCTAGCATTGAAGGACTCTGTTTAGAACAACAACAAAACAAAACAAAAATTAAAAATGAAAAGCCACAAAATCCCTACCAATTAGCATAAGTTCTGTACTGGTAGTTGAATCCCAACATAGAAAATACTGTGGATAGTGAGAAGTGTTTTAGGCTCATAAAGTAGACAACTATGGTAGTTTGAATGTAATTGACCTCCATGAGCTCATAGTGAGTGGCATCATTAGGAGGTGGGGCTTGTTGGAGTAGTTATGACCTTGTTTTAGGAAGTGTGTCACTGTGGGGGTGGACTTTGAGGTCTCCTATATGCTCAAGCTACACCTAATGTCTCAGTTTACTTCCTGTTGCCTATGGATCAAAAATATAGAATTCTTAGCTCCTTTTTCAGCACCATGTCCCACCATGATGCTATTGGACTGAACCTCTGAACTGTAAGCCATCCAGTTAAATGTTTTCTTTGTAAGAGTTGCCACGGTCCTGGTGTCTCTTCACAACAATAGAAACCTTAACTAAGACAGTAACCCTTCTCAAGTCTTGGTTTGCATAAGACTTTCCCCCTAAAGTTCTAGTGTGATGGCTTGTATGCTCTGTATTTCTCTTTAACATTGGGACATAGTTCTGTCTTAAATAGTCTTCAGGTTTTTCCATATTCTTCTGGAGTTTGTGTCCTACCTTGGTGGAGCCAGTTTCCAAGATGGCTCTCAGTTGTTACCTGAGTCCAACTGAAGCTCACAAATTTTCTCTCCCACTTTCCATTTCATCTGATTTCAGCTAGCTCAGACTGAAACAAGGGGGATTTTAGGATGATCGATGGGTGGTATCTATGGTGGGGTTAAACCAATGTGAGAGAGGCTGGATGTAGTGATCAAGTGTCCGGTCTCTCTCTTCATCTATCTCTCCATAGTTTCACTAACATAATAATTAGATTCACCTATAAGTCTTTAGCTTCAAGCAAATACTTTTGCAATTTCAATAATTTTAATTTAAGTGAATAAACAACTTTGTTCATGGTGTTTTATGTACTCCTACTGTTTTGACTGAAATGCTGTATTCTGTAGGTAACGGCAGGGTAGTAAATCTGCAGCCTTGTAGGGTGTGTGACAGCATGCCTTTTGAACTTCTGGATTCTCAGATGTTGGCTGTACAGCTCCCATGGAGAAAACTAGACACAGCTGGAGGCCTGTGGACTCCATGGCAATGAAGCTGGCTAGAGGAAAGAAAAAACTCCGGTCTGTAAAAGATGGTCTCCCTTCTTGTCTCTCCAGGTGAACCTTTTTCTCAAGAGGAAATGGAAGAAATGTTGTCTGCTGCAATTGATCCCGAATCAAATGCCATCAATTACAGGGACTACATAACAATGATGGTGATAGATGAAAATTAAATGCTCCAAAGACTTAGTTTCTTTTTTCTTCTTTTGAGATGACTGTAAGAACTTAATTTCTAATTGAAAGGGTAGTTTGAAAAATTGTTTGTCCTAATTAATTTCACATTTTAGCTTATAATCTCTGTATTTAGTGCCTTATGCTATAATTGTTTCAAGGTATTTGTTTTCTAGAGATGACCTATTTAAAACATAAATTTGTTTAGTATGACCAGATTTATAGGATAACAAGTTGATTACTTAAAAGGAATTGTAAAACATTTTAACACTAAATGTATTAATTGCTTATTTTGCACAACTAGGCCAGTGTTACCTTGAAATTAATTAAACAGAAAATGAAGATGGATCATAGCACCCTGAGATTTGGCATAGAAAGCTCTGTGGGCAGGATGGTTGCAGTCTGGACATGGAGGGCAGTATGCTGCATGCTTTTCTTTAGAGCATCACAAATGCTCGCACAGGCCAAACGTGGAGGGAGAGCGCCTGGAATAACTACTAATAATTGATTTCTTGTGAATGCCAATTACAAATCTCATTTGAGAGTCTAATAACTTCGCGTAAAATTGAAATTTGCTCATCCAGCTTGTTGCCATTTATGGAATAGCTAAAGGAGGTGAGATAATTGATTCTAGAGAAAGGAAGACTGAATGAAAACTGATAATGGCAATTCCTTTTTTGCTCTTTAGAATCCTCACCTATTCAGAATATCTGTCATGGGAATATTGTCCTGAGCCCTGAATGTGTTCAGCCTATTGTTGCCAGAATGTAGTACTCTGAAATGGACTGACTCTATAGGAAAGCGGTTCATTTAGCTCACAGTCATAGAGGGACAAGGTCCAGGGTCACTCTTGCACGCATCTCACCAAGGTGCAGTTAGCCAGACAGGAGCTCATGGTGGAGAAGTAGGAGCAGAGAGGCTGGGAGGGGAGTCAGGCTTGCTCGCTTTATAAGAATTGCTGTCCAGGTTGGGGAGCTGGCTCAGTGGGGATACTCAGCATTTGCTGAGTATCATTAGGTAACATGCTGGAAGCTAGCGGTGGAGGATGGATTGGATTCTAATTAGTCGAGGTCACAGTTTAGTGAGGGAGACTTGCAAGTCAATCAGCAATCACACTTCAGGGGACTGAATATTATTGCACAAGAGAAGCAGTTGACTCAGCCTGGTGGGGGTGGGGTGTATTCTAGTGGGCAGACGAAAACAGGTAACACTGACTTGCAAACTTACTAGTTCTTAAGTTTTGAAAAGTAGCTATACTTCAGAGCAGAGAGCACACCAGCAAGACAGCAGATCAAAACCCCAGAGTGTCATGAAACACAAGCACCTGGGAATTGAAAGTCTGCCTTATAGATGTTTGGCACCTGATGAGAGATGAAAGGTTGGAGAGGGAAGCAGGAACCATGTCCTAAGAGATAATGGGCTAATTGGGGTTAAGGTTTCAGTGTCTGAATGAGAATTTTATTCTAACATCACAGAGAAAGGAGCTGGAGTTGCAAATAGCCTGAGAAACAACGTGAAATTCGGCGGGGAGAGCAGCTGGCAGGCTGTTTGGTTGGCAGGATGGATGGACTAGGGAGAGTCAAGCACAAAGCCAGGCTTCTGGCTTCAACACTTGGTAAATAATGACACCAGCCATTCAGACAAGACACCCAAGGACGGGCTAATGAGCTTGACTGTGGTCATCCCTGGCTTAGGAGCTCGTGCAACACAGAAAAGTCAATTGGATAAATAAGGGACATCTGCTAGAGACATGGGCTTTGGAGTTCTTAGCACATAGTGTCTAGGAAAGAAAATAAAAGATAAGGACAGAACTGGGGGAGATAGTGAGTTTGAGGGCACAGAAGAGGAGCCTGCGGAGCATGGGAAGAAGCCTGAGAGGAGGGAAAGCTGGAGGGAAGCCATGGCAGGAGAGGCTCTTGGAGAGGGAGCAGGAGCCCAGCCAGATGTGGTGGAGATATGAAGTAACTGATGATGGAGAAACATCCCTCAGTTTCAGCACCGACACCTTCACTGAGAACCTCTCTTGGGGCAGACTTGCCAGCCAAGTGGCAGGTAGTGGAGTCCAGTGGCTTCAGGAATAAACAGATGCAAGGAAGAGTGTGGAGGGCAGGCTACTGTGGGAACACCAGACCTTGAGTAGATTGGGAAAGACTGCTCACAGACTTCAAATAATTTAAAAAAAAACTTATTTGGACACAGTATAGTTTACAATCTTTGAGTGATTTTCAAAAGTTTTTGGGAAATATTTAATGGATATGTCCTTTTTAATGGGCATCTACAAATAATCTAAGTAGTAATCCCAATTTACCTAGATAGTCAACCAAGGAGGGTAGACAAATTCTTCTACTGTTATGGTCCAGCTTCAACAGTTCAAAAAAATTTTTTTTAAATAAAAAAGGGTGAATAATGCCCCCAGTCCCCACATGACTCATCAAGTAATACACTCCTCATTTGAAAATTTTATAATGTGAATGCCAGTGAGCTTCAGACAGATTCTGGCATGATGGAACTTGAGCAACCATTGCTCAGGTCAAATGGAGACATGCATGCACTAGACAGTGGAGAAGACCCTAATTTGGGGTCGAGGGCATGTTTGTGTTTTCTTGCAGGAAAAGAATAAAGCTTCGGCAACTGTCAGACCATTTAGTGAGATGCATGGAGCAGAGAAAAACTGGACCTGAGACCATGGGAGCCTACCTAAGCCAGTTTGAGTGAGATCTCCTAAATCAGTGTTCCTGACCCTTGATGTCATCGAATCTACAGCCCAAGAAAGAAAGAAAACAGTCAGTTCGAGATTTCCAGTTTCTCAACAGACCTGCTGCATCAACCTTCCGGACCCATGAGTTTTCATCGTAAAGCCAACAGAGAAAAAAGGACCCATTTAAAGCATTTGGACATTGGTATGGACTATGATGAGTGGCAAAAGCCTCTTTTCAATATTTGAACAGGACATGGTCACTTGAAATATCAGACTTGATGGTTCCTATTTCTGGAATCACGACTAGGCCAGTGTATTTTTCTGGAGAAATGCAACTTGTCCTAATGCGACAACTATTGTTCATATTTTTCGTAATGCTACATGTGTAACATCAATGATTGTACCTAATGTATCTGTGCAAGTGCACTTTCTAAATGCTTTCCTGAGCAGATCTTGAAACGATTGGAAACTTTATCAAATTGTAAATGTAAATCACATGCGGGTTACCCTTGTAACAGATGAAGGCTGGTAGAATGTTATGGCCCAGATCTGGTGATGGGTATGGTGATGGAGAGGCGCTATGTCAATGGGGGTCCTGGAAATGGTGGCAGTGGCAGTAGGCATTCTGGCTTTATGCCGAGCTCAAACGTGCCTTGTTCCAGAGGCAAGAGATCCGTAACCAAGTATTGCTTAGCTTAGCCCATGGCAATCCCGATAGCCATGAAGGTTGGTTACAGATGATTTAAGGTTGGGGTATCTCTGATGACGGGCAACCTGTGGGGAAGACCCCTCCCACCTAAAACAGGGGTTCAAGGTCCCCCAAAGACGGGAAAGGGAGGGTGACCCTACTTGACCTAAGTCAGGAGTGCCTCATTTGAAAATAAAAAGGGGTGAATTGTGGGAACACCAGACCTTGAGCAGAGACCCACTTCCCCTTCTGCCTGGGAGTAGGCAGCTGTAAGACAATGTTTAGTAAAAACATGTTTACTAAAAACGATACAATAAGTTCCTGGCCACTTCCCCTTCTGCCTGGGAGTAGGCAGCTGTAAGACAATGTTTAGTAAAAACATGTTTACTAAAAATGATACAATAAGTTCCTGGGAAAGGCCTTCCCACAGAAACCGCCCTGACCTCGACCTTGTCCAAAGACTAACCGCACCTTCAAAAACCCACACACATCCACCTCTGGGGTCAGAGCAGAACCAGCCAGGGTAGAGGAGAGAGCAGAAGCTTCTCTGGTGGGAGCTTTTCTTAGGAAGTTTTTCTTGAACCTTTTTGGAGCCTGTTTAAAGTTTTCTTTATATCATTGAACGAGTCTCTGTGTTTTCAATACCCGACACCCTCCGCACGTTCTCGGACACAGGCCGCGCAGCAGACGTGACAGCTACTGGGCAGGAAAGAGAAGGGAGAGAAGGTAGAGAGGGAGGGAGTTTGGAAGATATGAACTGTGCACGTGTGCTGTAAGTTTGTATTTAGAGAGTCAAGACATGGCAGAGAGGCCAGGATCCAGGGCTGCAAATGTCTTGACCTTGGTTATGGACTCTAATGTATGTAGTCTCTGTCTAGTGACTATCCCAGATTCAAGCTGTCTCTAGTATTTTCTACAGTGCTGCTGCCAGTCACTTGCTTCAGAAGCCCCCTGGGGGATGGGTGGTTTTTGGTTTTGTTTTGTTTTTTTAGAAAGTAACTGTGTAGCCAAGGATGATCATATAGATCCTCAGAACAGTGTCTGGAGGTGTAGCCCCCAAATCTTTTGTAATGGAATTTGGAATTTTGGGGGGAGGCTTAGGCACATGTAGATGCCGGCACTGGGAAGTATTACGTGGTGCAGAGATGGGATTTGGGGCTGGACGTTGCCCTTACAGAGCGTGTGACTAGCACCGACACTGGTACAGCTGGGCTTCTGCATCTTCATATGGGAAGTGGAAAGAAGTTCTGTGTAGGGCTGGCATGATGATGGATAGCATGAAGCTATAATGGATGGAGGCAGTTGTTATTTATAGAAAACCAGCTAGGCAGGCAGGGGGTGGGGTGGAGATGGAGACCTGCTGCCTGGGTCAGACAGCCAGAGTGTGGGAAAGTAGGAAGCTGAAAAAAATTTCATCTGTGAGGTGAGGGTTAGGGTTAGGGTGGTGCTGAAGCAGGGATACCAAGAGGTTTGCTGTCACCGCACTATGAATGATCAGCTGTTATGTTTATGCTAAGGACTTGAGAGTAGGAGGGTTTAGGAGGCTCTCCCTCCTCCCTTTCTCCTTCCTTCCTCCTCCGCCCCTTCCTCCCTCCATTTTTGAATTGCTATCAATCACAGCACATTTATAGCAGCATGTGTCATTCGCCTGATCTAGTGATAAAAGGCATGCATTTGGGGCTGGGGCAGAGGCAGGGGGTGTGGCTCCGTTGCTAGAGAGTTTACCTAGCAAGCAAAGTTTTGGACTCCATCCCTAGCACTGCATAAGCCAGGCATGGAGGAACATGCTTCCAAACCCAGTTCTTGGGGTTGGGGATACTGGAAGATCAGAAGGCCATGGACATCTTTGCCTATGTAGTGAGTTCTAGGCCAATCCAGGATGCATGAGACCCTCTTAACTCAGAAAAAGAGCACTTAAAATCAGGACGTTATATGATTCTCTGGTCTAGATATCAAATCTAT